ATTTCCGTTACCAAACACTATTACAGCTAATCTTTCGACAAAATTTTTTTTATCAGATGGTAACATTTTCCCATTCCGATGGACCATTAATGTACAATGAGGTTTAAATAAATTTAATATTTCTTCTGATATAATTTTTCTATCACTAATAGGAGCTTTTCTTATTGTGTCTTTGCTAATTGATACGTTTTTTATTTCTTTATCTGAATTTATTAAAGTCGCTGCTAAAATATATGTGGCATTTGGTTAGATACGTTAGTTCTATCAAGCGCCGATGTTGGCTATGGTGTCATAATTTTTAAACGTGCTTTACTTGTTGTTGATTTTTCAATATTGTATTCAAATTCTGAGTGACTTGTATTATGAGAGCAATCGTCGGTACTTGATAGACTTTCTAATTTTTTTCGTGTGCGACGTTCAAGTTTTTTAAACTCAATATTTTTTTTATTATTTGAACGAGTATTTATGGTTATAATTTTTTTGAAATTTGGAATTACGGCCTAGACCCACCCTTCTCACGCTGATCAACAAGGAAGTCCTTTTCTTCTTTTGAAAAATTGGAATTTAATGCATTAGCATGGCTAAAATCGAATAAGTAGTTTAATGACTCTACAAATGCGGCTTCGCTATTATTTTGAGTAGAACTAATTCTATTTTTATTTTTATTTACATTTATCCATTTAGTATGGAGTTTTTTTATTTGTATAAATATGTGACATGTATGCTTTACTAAAATATTTGTTTTTAACCATATTTCAATTAACTGTGTCGCACACATTGAAGCACTAACTGATATTATTTTTTTGTTAACATTATGAAAATATAGAAAATGGCCAAGAACTTCGGGGTTTTGATGAAAGTCGATTACCAAAGATCCTCTTAATTGGGGTTATAATAACCTGATAATTTTTTGACTTAGCATCGTCCATAATTACTAAAATGAATAATTATTTAAACTTTAGCTATTATTGAATAATTAAGTAGATTAAATTTACTATTAAACACTTTCAGCTTATAAATTATCGTACTATGTATTTTTATGAAATAATAAATTAAACTTTGACTTACTTATTGCTACGTTCTCGAAATATAAAAATTTTTTATATTTGTGAATTCTAGATAAAATATAAGGGATAAATTTGATTAAAATGTATGAAAATGCTAATCTACAGGTACTCAAAAACTTTTAAAAATATATGTAACTACTTGTGAACAATATATCAGACACTGTAACAATTTTATCATCAGAAAAAAGGTGACTTAATATTGATATCTATTTTGTAAATCATAAACTTATGATTATTTAATTGATAAATAGCATGTATGGTTATTTTTCTGCCTTAATACCGCGTAACAATGATATATTTATTGATAGAAATCAATAAAGATAAAATCAAAACTTAGTTTTAAAAAAACGTTAAAATATGGTATTAATTTTTATTATTAGTAAAAAAAAATTTTACTCCATATAATAAACATAACAATTAATTTAACTATCAATTTTTCAAAACTTAAAAAAAATGTTTGGCTCCTTTCAGATCGATCCGAAAAGTACCATATACTTAGACATTTAGGTAGATTACGTAATCGATATAGGCCTTAGTAATTAAAAATTATAAAATCATTTTTTACGTTAAAAATACAACATTTTACATATACTGATGATTATAATTGACCAAAATTTAGAATTTTAATCATATTTTAATAAATAAGGGGTATTTTTGGTGAAAATACGAAAAACGCTTGGAGCGACCTCTAAACATTTTTTTATCGATCTCAAATTTTCAAAACATGTTCTTTTTTATATACTTAATAAATCTAGGGGGTGTCTGATAAAAATGTTTAAGGTCGAATTTTTTGCGCCACCCTCAGTGTGTAGCCTATTGAAGTCAATAGAATTAAATCAAATGATGTTAACATTTTTTTTTTCATTGTCAAACTCATTGTTTGGATACTAAAAGAAATCAACGGTTATAGTTAGGTATAGAAATACTCTAATGTTTATAACATACAGGGTGTTCAGTAAGTAAGGAAACAGGTCAATTGTTACAAACTATGAGAACAATAGAAACCCGTTTCCTGACTTACTGAACACCCTGTATAATAAAGTACTATATATATATATATATATATATTAGAGTATTTCTATGGGACTATAATCACCTCAAAATGACCATGAGAGAAAACAACAATATTATGTATTAATAATATTATTTATCTCTTAATGATTACACTTAGTCAGTTTAAAAATTATTATTCAAACAAAAAATGTAGTTTAATATTTAAAAATTAAATTTTATTTTAAAAATTATATATAACAAAATGTAATATGTAATCAGTAAGTATAACTCGCATTAATATATATTAAATATTATCTGGTATATAAAATTTTTACTAACGTGAGATACGGTACGTTTCAATATTAGGATTTTGATGGGAGATTTGGTATTTGTATGATACTATAGGTTTTAATTCCATGTTAACGATTATTTTAAATTTAAACTGAAAAACGCACATTTTATTTAAAAGTCATATGTTTTACACAGTTTATTTATAATATTATTCAAATTAAACGTACCGTGTATGAGTTTTCGGCGAACGGTGTCAAGTCTTCTGTTGTACTATTATTGAACGGAACGCCCGTTAATGATGTGCAGGTTAGTTACTGTTCGTTTCTGGAGTATTTATATCATTCAGGAGAAAGAAGTAGGGAGTGGGCTGTATAAATGAGTAAATGTATTGAAAGAATATAAAACAATAAACTGTATTTTTAATATAAACTAAAATATTATATATATCAATGTGGGTATGGGGGCCCTAATCACCCAAGATAACTAAATCAAGGATTCCTTCTTTAGAACAAAAAATAACCAGTTAACTAGAGGATAAAATCTGATTATTGTACAGATTTAACGCCTAAATATAGATCCTCAATTGAGTCAGGCAAATCACATTTAACAACGATTCCAGCTTCCAAAATCACGCTAGGGATCACTGCACACCCTCATCTGACTATAAAAACCCATTTTTTCGATTAAAATCAATTCTTTCGACAATTTCAAAATACACAAAATCTGCGACACTCTACTCAAAATTTTCACTCTTAGGGACTTGGTTTTTTTAATTCAATATGAACTAGAAATATTTTTTTTTAATTAAATAAACATAGAATAAATTTAAATTTAAATTTGTTTTGGTGAATCTTTTATTTTAAGTTTATGTTTTAAACTTAAACTTAAACTGTTAAAGTCTTGGTATTTCTGAATGAACATCCTCCATCTATAAAAGATGTTATTTTTTTTGCAAGGCTTTAGTTTAAATATTTTCAAAGTATCGGAAAAGGTCGCTGCAATAATTAAAAAAATGACTCTGAGTAAACAACGACTTTCAAAAGGAAATTTTAAATCTTTTGAAACATTATGTAAATTTATTGAAAACCATTCAAACTACGATGATGAAGTTTTGCCACTTGAAATACTATCGGTTTCAGTTCAAGAACATTTTTCAATGCTAATAAATAGTTTTAAAGACTACTTTCCGTCTATTTCCTCAAATAATATGTGGATTAAAGATCCTTTTTCTGTCAAAATTGAAAAGGAAGAAATGCTTAATCTTAGTGAACAAAAAGTTGATAATTTAATTGAAATTTCATACGACATCGATCTTAAAAAAGTGTTTGAAGTGCACCACTAATTAATTTTTGGTTGTGCTGTCAAAAGAAGTATTCAAGAATAATCTAAAAAGTGATACAATTCTTAATGCCTTTTGTCACCACTTATACGTGTGAAGCTGTGTTCATTGTGATAATTGAGTTAGTGTGTGGTTGACCTTCCGCCGTGCCGAACCGGAGCGTCAGGGATATATTATATTATTTGCATAATTAATTGTCGTATTAATACATTATAATTTATTAACGAGAGTACTATTATTGTGTATTTTTTTTTCATTTTTTTCCTTCAATTGTAATTCATTCATGGCTCATATATTAAAACTGATGCACTAATTTTACAATAGTTAAATCTCATAATATGAGACAAAACTGTTAAAAATTTACTATTATAAAAGTGGAGTTGTGGCACAGTGAGTATGTAGCATATTTGGGACAAATATAGATCATATTTGATAGTAATTAAAATCACTATCATAAGAAACAGTACCATGCAAAATTTTAGAAAGTGTTGAATTTTAAGAAATTAGTCGATTATTCCAAAAGCAACATCAACTCTTATTTTCTTAATTATAACCTGATTGATGTTCTTTGAATTATAAGTGGAACAATTTATTCAAATTTTTGAATTTAACTTTGTCGTTCGTTTTAACCCTTATGTGACTGGAAAGGTACCCGGGTACCTTTTCAGTTTTTAAATTAATTTTCCTTCTAAATATTTAGTATGTATGGTTAGTCCTTCTGTGACATCTCTAAATAGCATGTATAGTTCACAAATTTATATTTTGTATTTGAAAAGTATATAATTTATTATACTTAAAATATCGTTGTTAATTTTACACCTTATAAGGACGTAGTAGGTACCTGGGTACCTCTATATATTGTATTTAAATGTAGGTTTTATTGATACAAAAAAAAGTTAAATTACAATTGATAAATATTTTTACTGGACATCAATAAAATAGATACAAATATTAAGAGAACAAAAATGTTATTTTTTACATATTTAGTAAGTATTATAACATATTTAGGTTTTTTGTTGATTGCAAGTTTCGCAAAATGATTTGTTCATTGAGTGTTCATTGCAAATAGGCTTTGAGCAAGTTGAACAAGCTTTTCGAGTTTTCCGTTGCTTATAACCCAATTCTCGACATACTAAGCAACTTCCAACTATTTGAATACGTCCTGAAGCATCACGAGGTGGTTCATTTTTAGGAATAACAATTGTCTGTTGTATTGGCCGTCCGAGAACCATTTCCATTGAATTACGAGTATATCGATTTCCTACTACTTTAGGTATGGAGGTTCGAATTTCTATTGCAGACATACATAACTAATTTACAAGCTCTTTTAAAAATTTTCGGCGTCGATCAGTTGTGTTAAACCTTTGATTGTGTTCCATATATATAATATATGCAGATAAAGCAGCAATATCAATCATGTTGAAAAAAAATGCAAGTGGCCAACGATTAGTTCTTCGCTTTACTGTGTATTCTGTTAACATTTTATCCATTGTATCTACTCTTCCTTTTGTCAGATTATAATATTTTATAATTTCTGGTTTAGCGGTAGCAGCTTGCATTATGTCGGCTGTCATATGCATTGCAGATAAAAGAATAACCGATTTATTTATTTTTGGAACATAAGAACAAAGAGTTAAATCTTTTCTAAATACAAAATTTGTAGAATGTAACGCTCTGGCTTTTGATGGAAGCATTTTGGGAGGCAAGAATCTTTTATTTTTTCTGACAGTACCAACCAATGTCATATTCCAAGAGTTTAATGTAGTAGCCAATTGCATACTTGTAAAAAAGTTGTCTGTAGTCACATTTCGTCCAGAACCTTTATACATCGCAACTAAGTCTAGAACTGTACGTTCACCAATATTTACTTGACGTTTACCATCTTGTGATTTGCCTGTGTAAATTTTACCATGCAAAGGGTAAGCATTTGCTGCATCGCAAGCCCAAAAAACCTTTATTCCATATTTTGCAGATTTAGATGGAATGTACTGTGTAAATTTTGTGTGTCCTCTGTAAGGAAATAATTGTTCGTCTACTGTTATATTTTCTGTAGGTTTATAATTTTTATGCAAGTTTTTATTGAGCATGTCCAAATATCCCGAATCGGTGCAGCTTTGTCTGTTGTAATACGTATATTACGAGTGTTTACATTATCAAAACGAATAAACCTTAGCAACATTTTGAATCGATCTCGAGACATTGCAGCTCGAATGAGAGGTAACGAGTCTAATTTCCACATTTCTGATACATGTTCTTTATTAGATCTATGTACACCAGATACGAGAAGAATTACATATAATAAGATATAAAAGCAATAGACTGACGACAATGAAATAATTTACCGAAAAGCACAGATAACTATATTGTAGGTACCCGGGTACCTACACCGTCATAAGAAGTTGTTTTTTTTTTCAGTCACATAAAGGTTAAATACAAAAAACAAGTCCATAGGTAATTTTTTTTTTATATAGTATATTATATCAGCTTTTACTTAAGGAAAATTTGTCGAAAAATGTTTTGAATACTAGGAGAGATGACTGTTTTCTCATATCGTGGGTTCCATTATAAGTCATGTAGCTATTAATATAGCAGAGAGGTAAATAAGAAACATGACCTGTAAAATAAATCAAAATAAATGATTTACTTCTATATTTTTAGTTAAGTAGAACAAACTTTGAACAAACATGCAAAAAAAATGTGATTTTGTAAATTAATAAAAACCAAAAATAATGTTTTTCCTATTTTCTTAGTGAAATACATGATATATTACAACTATTTAATGAAAACTTTAGTAGTAATTAAAATAAAAAATAACTTCAAAACGTCAAAGCTTATTAATTTATAGACTTATATGTCAGTTTTCAGTGATAACTGAAAAAAAGAAATCAAGTTTTTACTAGTATTTTTAGTATAATGATGTTTATATAAAAAAAGTTTCTGCACCATCATCAATAAATAAAATGTTCACTTAGTTTTAAATAAGAATTAATATATATAAAAAAAAATTAAATTTATTAAATGCTTTTATTTCTATTTTAAAAATGACGTTTTTCGAACACTAATTCAACATAGTATTGTTATAAAATAAATCGAATTTCAATTAATCTATCATTTCAATTGTTTAACTTATCAGTTTTATTCGAAAACGTCGATTTATCAAACCAATAATGTATTTTTACATTTTCATCGTGATGTATCTAACTGGAAGTCTTTCAAACGCAATTCTTTTCACTTTTCCACCTTTGGACGAGGTAAAATGATATTATTTAATTGTTAATAAAAGTAAATTGTTCAATGTATTCTAAATAGAATATTCATTTTGAAGAATATCTAAATATTTATTAAAATGCAGATTATTTTTTTGTTATCTTAGGTCTAGCATTTTTACACAATTCATCAAATTTAATTCAAATTTGATTTAAAAAAAAAAGTTTTTCATTTATCATGGTTTTATTCGAGAATCAGTACCTCATGAAAATAATTAGTAATGCGATAAATAAAATGTAGCTAATATTTTATAAAATTTGGTTACTAAATCAAAATAATAAAATAACAGGTTATTATTATTTTTTTTTTTTGCAAAATGGGAGCGATTTTCATTTTAATGGAAATTTTCCCAAAACATATTTCAGTTCTTTTTCTTTATGATTTAACTATTCTTATAAAAAAACGGTAGCACAGTGGTATTGCAGCAAAGTGTAGACGTGACATAGTTGGGACAAGTATAGATGATTGGTAGTTCTTTCAATTATATGTATTATACATGAATTCATTTTAGTTACTTATGATTAAATGCACTGGTTTACAAGTAATTTTCCTCGGAGACCAGAATATACTTTTCTAAACCTTTTTGTACCGATTAAAAATTTTTAATTAGATTTTTTCTATCACAACTTTTTGAGATTATTAATAATTAGTAAAAAAAGAATATTTACATATAAAAAAAAATTAAAAGCAAATAAAACATTTTGTAAGTTTATGTGAAAAGCTCAATATTTCGTTAGAATATTTAATTTTTTGTCATTTTTATCATAGTTAATAATTTTAATATAAAACATGGTAATCATTTTAAAGTAACTTTCGGTGTTAAAAAAGATTCTAGAATTGAATTCTTCAGAACTTAATAATTTTAATGATTTTATTTAACAAAAATAAAAAAATTGTTAAAAAAGACAACTCAATTAAGCTTATTATAAAAATTCATTGTTAAATCCAGTTGAAAGGAAAAATCGATTGTTTTTAGAAATTATTTATATAGCAATGTGTTACCAAACAATTTGGAATATTATAGACTGACACAAATAGAGTTAAAAATTAATAAATTACTAAGAAAAATTATTTAATTTTGAAGTTGAAATCTATTAACATATCAAACTCATTCGACAATAATTTTTTTAAAAATATTATAAAAATAATATAATAAAATTTAGCTTTTACAATTAAAATAAATAATTAAGCAACTTTATAATTGATATAATTTTTTCAATTTATGAGTGTAATATCTTTAACTAGATACAATTTGTGATCATTTGACGTAATGTTGAAAAAATTTGTCAAGTGAGAGCCGAAAAAAATGAATAACGGATACAAATAAATAACACTTAGTAAAATAATTTTATTATGAATAAGAAATTTCATCCCACGAGCGAAAAAATGTCGAATTAGTATTTTTTTAATTTGTAATTTTTTTCGGAAATTTCCTCCATTTGCAGGGATTGAGGGAAATTGTTTCCATTTTTGAGGATAATATCTTCGACTAAATATGATTTGTGATCTTTTGACGTATTGTTAAAAGAAATCGGTTTGGTGAGAGTTGAAAAAACGTTTTAACAGATACAAAAAAAATCAAATTAATAATTTCACAGGTTCGTATGAAACTTAAAATAAGGGGATTTCCCCCCTTTTTACCTCATTCTCAATACGTCAACCTAAATTCACTTATTTCTTATTAACAGTTTCAAATAAGTTCTTGTACAACAAGTACTTAAAATTGTTTAAATTTTAAAAATTTTTATACAAAAATTTTTTCTTTAAACTTAATATCAGTTTTCACCACAAAGACAAGTCCAGTGGTCAAATTTCATTTTTAAAAAGTTATGGCAGTCAAGAAAAAAAAAGTTAAAAAATGTTGAAAATTACTGATTTATAAAATTGTAATTTTTTGAGGATATCCTCCATTTACCGAAATTTGGGATTTTTTTCAATATTTGAAATTAATGTCTTTGGCTAGATATAATTTGTAGGAAGTAAGAACCTCATTAATGCCCCCTCTCATTAAAAAAAAAATTAAAATATATAAGATTTAAGTGTTAATTATAAATATTTTCTTTTCTTATATTTTTTATATATTTCCCTATTAAAATTTCAATATTAAATTATTGCATATTAATATCATATTAAATTTTATTATTATACTAATCATTTATTTATGTAATTTACCTATAAATCAGAAATTTTTTTATCAAGATATGTTTAAGGAAATAAGGAGTGATTTGATTTTGGAATAATTCAACAATTCCATATAAAAATTAAACATTATCTACAAATTTGCGTAGATACGATTTTTATGAAAATGATTTTAATCAGTATATAAAAGTTTTTTATTTAAAAATTTAAATTCATATTATTATTCATTCTAAATTTATATAATTCAACTATATAATATTTATTTTAGAAATCGAAATTGAATTCTTTAGCAGTGACGCGTGCAAATGTTTTGTTTCATGATTATAAATGTAATGATAAAGGTATGGAATTAAAATATTTTAAACGCCTATGGAATCTATTTAAACCGATACATAAGTTGGAAGATATAGACATTGAAACATTATTCATTGATGAAGTTAAAAATAGTAAGTAAAACTCTAATTATGATAATAAAGCTAAATTTTATTATCAACAAATATTATTATAACTGATAAATTTAATATATTTGCATATCTTTTAGTTATATCAATTAAGATAATAGGATAAGATAAAAGACCACAAAATTTTGGTTTGAGACAGTTGTTAAAGTAAAAAATCTAGAAGAAAGTCTAAAAAATATATTGATCATAATAAGCAAAAATACTTAATTAGTAAAAAAAAATATCTCTATAAAGGAATAGATTAGAACCTATTATAGTTTCATTCGAATAAATTTCTTAAATTAACGTTTCCCACTCTTCATTGCTAAAACTCAAAGCGTCCCTCCAGCATTTTTGGATTAGTGGATGATTAATTGTTCCCCAAATTAAAAAGGGGACTATGTTCATCTCTATCTATTTACACTTTAACCAATGATTCATCATTAAAATATGAGGTTATATCTCGCAATATGTACGGTTCAAAGCTAATAAATACATGTAACCATTATTTATGAATATTAAATGTTTATTTTGTTACACACAATACAATTTTATTGTAATATTTATATTTTCCATAAAATTCGTGTTGGGGATTTTGCGTTTTCTGTTTACAAAAACATAAAGTGACTCAAAATTTTTTTTTTGTGTATAGTTCTAATTCACAGTTTATTTAAAACAGTTCAGTTTATTTTGCGTGGTTATGACGCGTACGCTTATCGATGAATAATTAAAGTTGTAAAATAGTTCTATTATAAATTGTTATATTATATTAATTACAGTAAATACAATCTTAATCTAAATTTTCACAATACACAAAAACCAAAAGAATTTGTTTTTAATTGTCATGATTAGTTTGATTTTTAATATAATAAAATAAGTATAAATAAGTTCTTTTAAAACGCATTTAAAATTTAAAATACACACGATTCTAGAGGTCATGTTTCTAATGTAGTTATTGTGTTTATTTTTGGCACATTTTCAATTTTAGCATATTTCTGCCATTGTATATGTGATTTTGAATAAGAGGAATACACCTTTAATTCTTAAAATACTTCTTATTTATTAATATCTAAAAGATTTATATTTAATTTTCTTTTTCCTGTATTAATAATAAATTTCGTATATTTAATACAGCGTTAATACTGTTATAAAATTTACTTGATAAAACAATTATTTTATATATTGTGCTTAGGACATGAAATAAGGAAATTTGAAATTTTCGAATGTACAAATATAAGATATAAGATATTTGTATTTTGTTTTTGTTAATCTTCTTTCAGTATTCTTTCTGAAAATTTTGAATTTCGACACTTTTGATAGATTATAATGCGAATTTCTAAGCTTTTTTGGAAAATAGTTTTTTGTAAGTTTAAAATAATAATTTATAAACAATTTTTGGAAATTTGTAAGAAATAATTGAAATACTTACATTTATGAATTCATACATATGCATTTATTTTAATAAACTACATAGCCATTAACAGAAAAATAAATATGTGATTATACAAGATGACTATGAAAAAACTTGCACATTTAAATTTTCCCTAAAGTAAATCTAGAAGAGAATAAAATATAACATATATCTACATTTAGATTTTAATTAAAGAAAGTTTACTTTTCAATACTATTTTTTTAATGATGATAAAGACCGCTTTTTAACGCATGTTGTCATACTATCGTTTTTGATGACTGGCGATTCGTAAAAATTTCCAGCTCTAATTAAAATTATCTATGTTAACGCGATCTATGGTTTGATTATAAGTGAACAAATTCGATGAGACTTGTAAAGAAAAACAATATAAATGTTTGAAAATTTGGAACTTTAATCGTAATAAAATTTTGTTATGAAATTTAAACATAAAACAATATTCATGGCAACTTATTTTAAATAAGGATCTCTTATATTTCGTAATTGAAAACGTACTATTATTCATGGTTGCATTTCAAATAAAATTTTAGAAATAAATTCTATGCCAAAATGCCCAGTTTCAGATAATATTCTTCATGTTTTTTGATTGATACAAATAAATATATTAACAAATAAGTTTAGACATTTACGAACATATCTTGAAGGTTTAGTAAAATAAACAAACATAAATTAATGGATGTAATTTTTAATCCATACGTAGCTTTTTTTATTATAAGTCAGTCGTAAGCCGAAAGTCGAATGGTAAATCCGCCGTACCTAAGGTTTTTAGTCGCATATAAAATGTGCAATTTATACATCATAAAAATACATTATTAACAAAAATATAGTGTTTTAGTTTTATTTAAAATATTGTAAGCTATCAACCAATAACATTAAAGGTGTTAACATAAAATTTAATTAATTAATACAAATCAGGCAGATTTTGATCTCAAGTAACTACATTTAAATATCATTGGACTGGTTATATATTCATATAGATTATTTTTACTATTGTTAAAACAAAAAAATACTTTGGTAGAACAACTATTATAATTGAGAATTATTTGTTCTTAAAAAGACCTCATAGAATTCGAAAAAATTATAAAACACATGGAACCTTAGCAAATGCAATTATTACAGATAATAATTTTATGAGTAAGCTAATTTTATAAAAGATATACAATGTCAAATGTTGTGTTAAATAGTGCTATGCTCAAGTGCTAATTATAATTTCCCACCTTAAGAAAGTATTATTAGATATTCAAGTTATATAAAAACTATTTCTGGTATAAATTATTATTTATAATATTATGATAAATTAATTATTTTAAGTGATATTAAAATGTCAGTCAGTGATTATTACTAATAAAATTATTGATATTACCACTTTACTTTTAAATAAAATTGAATTGATAACACATAATTTTTATTTCAAAAGAAGAAGGATTTATGAAATTGAGTCAATTTTTACATCAAACGCTTAATATTGTACAAATAGTTGAGAGTAAATTAAAAACTATTTATGAAAAATATCAGTACCAAGATAATAAGATGACTAAAAAAAATTTTTTTGAAGCCATAAAAGAATTTAAAATTATTATCACAGAGGATGACGCTAATGAAATGATACCTGGAGAACAAGATTTCAGCTTTACAGGTAAAATAAATATTACGTATAATTTTTTAGACTTTTAGATTTTAAAATACCCATCTAAGGCCAATGTGATATACTTCAATAAGTTTTCATAACTCCAAGAATGATGATTAGTTTGTCGTCGAGGTGGATAATGGCATTTTAATTTACTGAATTTATTTATAGCCAACCAAATAGAACCCTTTGCAATATATTCCCATATGCTATCAAATATTATTAAATTTCACTTTTACGACTTGATCTTATTACACTTTAATTTTTAATAAGGATTTCTAATTTTATTTGATATTATAAAATTAATTTTTACTTAATAAAATTATATGTATTATTTTTAATTAAGTAACTTTTAAAATAAAGAATTTCATCATACATACATGATATATTAATAAAATAACTTTTGATTCGTTATCCAAAAAAACAAAGCTATATGGCTAAAATATTTTAAAAATGTGTTTCAAAAAAAATTAAAATAGTTGATATATACGTTTTTTATAATTATTAACTATAGTCGTTTTAAATTATAAGGATTGTTAAAAAATTTATTTTATTAATTTATCAAGTAGAATTGTTCCAGTATTAAATAAAACTGACATCAAGTTACTTTCAATTAATTAATAATATATTTTCTTAGAATTCAGACAACTGTTCGCGCAATTATATCACCATGAACTCAATAAAAAATTGATGCATATGACTGAAGATGGGATCATAATTGTCTTGAATCCTCAAGACGAAACTGAAAAGGTATTAGTCTTACTATGATGTTTTTTTTTCAGTCTGTCGCCACATTTTCTTAAAACTAACCGAACCAATTTCTTTCAACCATACGTCAATAGATCACAAATTATATCTATTACTATCCTTAAAAATTGAAAATATTTCCCTCATGCCCTCTAAAAGGAGGAAATCCAATAAAAATTAAAAGTTTTAATTTCGCTAAATTTTCGACATTTTTTAAAATTTTTTTTAAAAATGAACAAATCAAAAAAATTTTATACATAGAAAATTTTAGGTATTTCCCTTTTATTTTGATCTACATTTTTCCAAAACCTAACCATTTACCTGCCCACAATGGTGGATTCAAAATAACAACTTTTTCAACTTATTTTTTTAAAAATGTTCCGGAATCACTGCGTCTTTTAAACATATTGCAAATTAAAGCTTATGTTACATAAAATAAGTTAAAAAAATAAAAATTACTGATGACTTATCTTCTATGTGCAAATGGTCGTCTATGTTGAACAAAAAATAAAAGATATTTATTTAAATTTTATTATTATACTAATCATTTATTTATGTAATTTACCTATAAATCAGAAGATTTTTTATCAAGATATGCTTAAGGAAATAAGGGGTTATTTACTTTTGGAATAATCCACCAATTTATAAAAATTAAATACTATATACAGATATTCATCGGAGCGATTTTTATGATAGTGATTTTTATCACTGTCAAATATAATCTATATTTGTCCCATTTATGTCACGTCTACACTATGCCACGACCCTAGTGTGCAATCTTTTTAAATAATTTTTTTTAAGAAGAAAAAAAAATTATTTAAAAATAATTCTTGCCTTTTTTTTCTATGGTTAAACTAATCAATTAAAATATATAAATTATTGTTAAAGCTGTATTGATAATAAATTGAATTAGTTTATGAGATACTAGATTTTATTACTGTATAAATATTGTTCTGGAAGGAGCCAAGAAAGGTAACCTTTTTCTTATAAATATTTTATATAATTGGTTAAAATTAGAAAATCGATGAACAAAAAAAAAGAAAAGATCATCATTGTAATAATTCACTAAGAATTGTAACAATTTTCAAAAAAGTAGACCATCATGGGAAGAGTGCTCTACTGCAATATACACAATTATTAGTAATAATTTAAAAAACTTTTAATTCTATTAAATGCAAATACACCACACTATAACTACGATGATTGGAATCACCTGACTTTCATAAAATTAACTGTAAATGTGATTGTAAAACACAATGACATCTAAGAACGATAATTACTTCTAATATGACATATAATCTGATGCAAAACAGCAAACAAAGAAATATGGTTTTCCAAATATTTTACTGATTACTTTAGAAAGTAACCAGTAAACTACTGTAGTTAGCTAGTTTTACAAAAATGTTCAAAAGTATTTCAAAATTAAAAAAATACTTTAAAGATGGATCTCGACGGTCAGAGTAAAAAAAATTTTGATTTTTAATTTCTTAAAAATAATCTAAACGAAATTTCGATTTAAAATATCATATTGAACCTAATTTTTGAGTTTATTATGAGCTTATTATAATTCAAATTTTTAAACTGTTTACATAAAACTATATTATTATAACTGTTTATAAACGATTTTCTGCATATTTCCTTATAAAAATTAATTCAATGCCACTATTATTTGTGGAGATGTCTAATTTTAAATAAAATACTTTAAATAAAGTGTTTTTATTAAAAAAATTGTGAATTTTTTTACTTTGACGGCTTATAATGGAACAGTCTTATACTAGAACCTGTATAATTTTTTTAATCTTACAGTATATTTAAAAATCTATAATTTTATATAAGTTTAATCTATGCAGTCGTTTCTGGATATTTTCAAAAATTGTGTAGAATAAAAATAATTTAAACATACGTGGCTGGTTTTATTTTCAAACCCTTTTTGTACTTAGGTTATTTATTAAATTGTATAAAAGAATACCCAAAGTCTGAATATTTTATCTAGTATATAATATTAAGTTAAAAAATGTCGAAATTTACCCATAAATATAGTAATATTTTGGATGATTTCCCCAATTTACGGGGAACGAGAGAATTTTTAATATGAATAAATTAACTATGAATAAGTAAAAAACTTTATTAAAACAAATACAGAAGCATACACGTTTCAACTTGTACAGACTGTTTACACTATTCCAAATAATTTAAAGATTTTTGCTTCAAATTATATAATATTTAAAAGACATTTTATAGTCATTTCATATGCTAAGTATTTTTAAGAAACGTATTTTTTTCATTTTAGAAGAGAAGCTCCATCCTTATGCGTTCCAGCTCAATTAAAGTACTAAATGTTAATTAATAAAATCAAAGGAATCGAATAACTATACTTACAAAAATGAAAAATATGCTAATTTTAATATTTTCTCCTGATATTAATCTGAAAACAAAGTGTAAAAATAAATGAAATAACTTCATTTAATTGTAATTAACTAATTGATCATAATTAAACGCATACAATATTTTCTTTATTTTACATACATTAGCAATTATTTTATTTTTAATTAAAATATTAAATTTTCTATTTATGAACAACAAAATTAAATTTCCTATTATGTATTAAAATTATAAGTCTTACAGTTAAAATGATATTAATATTTATAAAAACTGTTATTAGTTTATATAATATAAAATCGCAAAATATATGTGAATATGATTGGACAAATATTTTTTGACAAAAAATTGTTATGGAAACATATTTTTATAATTTTCATGTAAATCTATAAATCACAACATATAATTTCTCATATATTGTACTATAGATTTTTAAAAGTTCATATTAGGTTTAGTGGAAAATCCTGTTGATTTTTAATGGTTAATTGTTTTGTGAAATAAAAATAATAATTTATCCAGTTGAAGAAAATAACTAATTGGTTATCATTAAAATTTTGAATTTTATATAAGACTAGGCTTCGCCTTGCTGGGGCCCTACAAGCCTTACGCGCCTTCATCACAAGTAGGCCACTGATTCCGGTAGAGGTAGTCGGCTACGCCGGGCACGATAAGTGTTATGCAGAAAAAACATTACATCAGAATCAGTGTAGCAAAAATATATTAAAAATGTAATTTTTAAAATCTTTGATCGATTTTATTATTATATCTCAGAAATGTCATTGGTCGAATGTTGAAAATTTCAAACCTTAAGTCGTAAAACGCTGGTGTCAGCGAGCTTTTTTCTCAAAAACGGTCGACATTTTAAAACGCTTGCTAGTGAGCGGCAAAAATTTTCCGACCTTCACCAATAATTTTTCTGGGGTCTAGTGACAAGTACTTTTGTTGAAAAAAATTTTTTGAAAATCCGTGCACGGTAAGTAATTTTCCCAGAATAGCGTTTTTTTCCTGGTTCTGTTATATAATAAGATAATTTGATTTTCCCGAATTCTTAATTTTAATTAAACGCATATATTATAAATTCGTATTCGCAAAATATAAAATAGAATATTGCAATAGTAAAGAGCCACATTTTGAATATTTAACTAACTATCGATAATAATTAATTACTTCAAAATTACCTCACGCAATGTCATTATTCCTGAGTATGTCTTAAAGTTTTTTTAATGCTAATTTTTAGGATTGAACTTAAAACAAATTTCAATTTTTTAAAGTTAAATGGGACCTGAACACTTTTCAAACTCGAACCGAATATTAATTTTAATCATTGCCAGGCAAACCATTTTTTGTATCATTATTCGACAAATGTAGTGCGATATTTGTTTATCTGATATCGGTTCATTTATCAAACCGTTTACAACGAAAAAGTTCAATTAAATTTTTTACAATTTTAAGTTTGATTTTCAAACTTAGGATGTTTGATTTGGTGTGAATATCACTAGTTTTTTTTTAATTTCAATTAAATTAAAATATCTTACGATTTTTCCAAATTTAACGTTTGCAACATTTACACTGAGCAAATACAGCAGCAGATAGTGGGCAGCTGAATTCAGAAGTTTGCATGAAAACTAAACATCTCGCTTGACAAAGAGCATAACAAGTGGGTGCGGGCTCGTACGTACCAGCTGATCTCCATTCCTGACATTCTGAGTGAACGGAGTTGAATAACCCAAATATAATAACAATGAAAGTTAAAAACACTTTTAATAAGTACATGTTTGTTGTGTTCAATGTATACAAGTACAATTCAATATTCTGGACCATTATATATGTTAAATCAACACTGATTCTGAGAACCTTATAGAGGACAGAATCAAAATTAAAAAAGGACTTACGTTATATTTATTTTAAGTATTGTAATAAGTGATTAGGTGACCTTACTATTAACTATTGATTAATAACATAACAATAAACACCAGATAAATCTATTTGTTCATTATTTTCTTCGTGTCAATTTTGATTTAATTAATTCAGACTAATTAATATTTACTATAAATAATAATTTCAAGGTTATTACAAGTAGTTTCCGGGTTTTTTCACTATGGTCATATAAATAAATGTGATATTTCAAAGTTTAAACATTATAAGATAATATGATGAAATTAAGTTCCATGCAATGTTCAGACAATTTATGGCATATAAAGTGATGTTTGTTGTGCGATTAATCTCATCACAGTTATGGCATCACATGAAAATCACGTTCATTAAATTCGTGCTATATATATTAATTTAATCAATTCCAATCAATAATATGCGTTATTGTTAAGTTTGTGGTCTTTGGTACTTATTGAAATTTATAGAAAAACTAAATTAAATCCAATGTTTTTTTTATAATATAATTTTTAATTTAATTAGTAGCTATAATTAAACATTTGAAATGTTTTGCATCATTCATAGCTTTTAATTGTGTTGCGAAAACTATAAAAATAGTATTTATAATTTTAGGCGTTCTTAAAGTATAAATACATGTTCCACTACAACTAGAATATAAATGAAATAAAAGAACTTAAATTTTAGTTAATAATTCATTAGTTTATAAATAACATTTTTGTTATAATATTATTAAACCAATAAATTCTGTTTATTAACAAAAATACAATATTCTCCAAGTTTAATTTTTTATTGCAAATCTTTTAAATTTAATTTAACTCTCAACTTATGTGAGTACTAGTTGCGCGATGTCAACATACGTCTTTTACTGTATTATAGGATATTATTTATTTTATAATTATTGTTAAATCTAAAAAAGATTGATGTCGAATGTAGTTATCGCCTCATGTTATATGAGGCGACACTAAAAAGGTTCCTAAAAAGAGTCTATTTTGTACATATAAAGTTTAACAAAAGGCACCTTATAGTTGTTGACTTAAAGCGTCATTATAACCTCTCGTTTAATTTTTCATAATAAATTTTGCTTACTTTTTGTTTGTATTATACCCACAATATGTAAGCTAAAATATTTTTATTGACATTTCAAATATCAAAATTAAGAGATATTTAACATTAAGAGCTTGGCAACATTGTAACGCGGTTGATGGATAGTAGTTGGTACTAACTGTAATCACAAGAGATTATCATTGATTAAGAATGATGATAGAACCGCAACAAATAAACAAAAATATTCAATTAAATTTGATCAATTGTTTGAATATTGCTAAGTAAATTATATTTAGTTTCAGGTCTAAAAATAAATTATGGACAAATCTTCTGATCGTGTTGTCCGAAAAGAAACTGAAAATGAAGTAACTAGTGAATGCCGTTTATGCTTAGACTCTAAAAATGTAACAATAAATATTAGTCAACCAACAGATAAGTTTCCATCAGTAGCCGATAAAATTAATTATTGTACATCTCTAGTCGTAAGTGTTACGAAATTTTTAATTTTATGATTTATTTTATAATTTATAATATTTGACAAAATACAGTTTTTTTATGGTTTTAAATGTATTCATTTACATATATAAAGTTATATATTCTTATATAACATAATAATAAATAATATATCATATTCTTTTACATATTAAGTCGTTTACTATTTATCAAATTTAATTGTTTCAATAAACTATGAGTAGTATTTTAAGTGATTAAAACAACATACATAAATAAACGTAATAATAAATATTGTTCAAACTTAAATGGGTAACAATTGATGAATGTTTGGGCTTCAAATGAAAGCAGATTCGAAAGAACTCAGTCCCCTTACCTCCCACTACAATTAACATGGGTCTCCTTGTGATTTATTTCAAAATGTTTATAATTGTATTAATATATGAAATTTTCAAAATAATATAGTGGTAATAACTCCTTTACATTTTTCTAACACTTCTAGTACTGAAAATACAAAGAAAACATGTAGAAGATAACTGAATTTACTAAACATTATTATTTTTTCATATTTTTCAAAATTACTGTTAAAATCAATGTATTTTGTTAGTTTTTACATAGTTTAACATTTTTACTATTCACTACTTTATAACTCAGAAAATAAACATCTAACAAAGTAAAGAATAATTAAAATTATAAATTTTGTTCTCTCCAAAAAATTGATTTTATTTCTTATTAATAGTTATAAACTGCTCAAACAAGAAAAGAAAAGAGCTGTTAGCACTAAGTGGGTTATCTATTTACTATTCATCTTAGCATTGTAGATAAGATAATCAGTATGTATTGTTCAAAACGAATGGTGTTTTTTAAATATATTTAATAATTAAAACTAAATGAATAACACATCTTCAATAGATAATAAATGTTACATTTTTTTTAGATTAAAATCGGAGATAAACATCCTCAAAAAATCTGTACTAATTGTGCTGGAAACTTAGAAATTGTATATGCATTTAAAAGTAAAGCCATTTCTAGTGATTTAGAATTGACTAATAGGTCACGTAGTACATTTACATATGTTCAAGTATCAGATGACCCTAAAAATGTAAGTGTTTTATTATGAACAAAGAAAATAATTTCTAAAAATAATTATAATATTTAGATGACATTCAAATTAAAGTTTGATGATTCGGATGAATCAGTGGACTTAGAAAGCAGTTGCGTATACAATATTGTAGATGGAGATGAACTCATTGTTGAACCAGTGAATATTATGAGTGAAAAAAATACCACTGATTTTAATGAATTTATTGATAAAAATATTTCAAAAAATAAAACTATTTATAGGTTTAAAGAGTCTCCTAAAATATCTAAATCTAATAATGGAGTTATTCTCTCTAATAAAGTAAGTTTATAGAATACTTTTATCTTAATGTTTATTGACCTAATTAAAGCTTTTTTAATTAAGCTGATAATTTTGTATAGTTCTATATTTATAATAATTCAAATAAGTAGATAGTTCTATTAGAATACTTCAATAAAAAAATTAAATACTTTAGTAAAATATTAATTATATTAAATGTCTATTTTATTCATTTATTTTTTTTAAACTGATAGTTTTAGAAAAGAAAATTTAAAACAGTTGTAAAAAAAATATTCCATATTTTCAATTATTTCAAATATCTCATCATATTTTTCTTAAGTTGATGTAAAATTATTGTCATTAATTTAACCAGAACTTTGTTTGCAATAAACAAGGTATAACTAATAGTGTTCATTGATACTTAACTATCGCTATACTTAAAAAAATCTGGAAAACAAAATGTAGAGTATAATTACTTTCTATAGCCACCGTAACACTACTTATAGCCATTTTATATTTTATAAACTGTGGGAATCATAATTAGTTTATTATTTGATAATCACTAAAAATAACAAAGTGTGATATTATTTTGGTCATGTTATGCATCAAAATTATTTAATATTTACTGTGGAAAGATATATTTTTGGCTATAAATAAGGTACTGGCCATAGAAAGTGCATTTACCCTAGTTAAGAAATTTTAGAACTTCAATAAAAATGTTCATTTTCCATTATTATCTTCATTAGCATGAAACTCTGATTTTTGGTAAAAAATAAGGCTTATATATTAAATATAATGAAGTTTTAAATATAAAAATAAAATATCAAGAGATAACTTTAATTAATAATGAATGAGCTGTGTAATTATACTTGAAAAAAAATATATTGATCCAAAATTTTCAAAAAAAATATTTAAATATTGCTCACAACTGCTTTGCATATTAGCAAAATTAATGTTACTAAATTTTTATGTATTTTACTTCGTTATATTATACTTAATTCATTACTTTTATGTTGAAAATTCTAATAGAGCTTCCAAACAATTTATACAATTTTTTTAACAAACAATACTATTAAATATATTTCAAACATAACTATATACATTGTATTTTTACAAATAATAAAACATGAATTCATTATTTTTCAGAAATCTGATGTAATCAAATCATCAATGGAAATTAAACGAAATTTTAAAAAAATATCTGAGAACAATGATGAAATTTTTTCATTCAAAAAACAAAAATTAGATTCTGATGATATAAAACCTGTATTGGTTGTAAAAAATGGTAAAGTTATATATTATTGTAATGTGTGTAATTTTGAAGCTGACACTATGACTACACTTTTAACGCATCGAACATTTGAACATAAAGAAAGTGGCCAATTCAAATGTACTGAATGTCCTACAACATACAAAACATTACATTTATTAAAACGACATTTTAAATCACACAATGATATATTTCACAAGTGTAAGCTTTGTGATAAACAATTTTCTCAAAAACAAGCCCTGGAACGTCATATCAATACTTATCATAACACTGCATCGCCATTAGAATTTCAGTGTGTTAAATGTAATGCCTATTTTGATTCAATGGATGAGATGGAAGATCATTTAGTCATTCATTATACAAATCCGTCTAATGGTTTTAGTTGCAACAATTGTGATAGAACTTTTACTACATTTGTAGCCTTAAATAAACACATTGATCTAGAACATACAGTGCAAATAGAATGTAATATTTGTCATGTGGTATTACCTTCTAAAGAAGCAATGGAAAAACATAATAACTCAGTACACAGAAAAAATAAAAGTAATAATCAAAAGTATGAATGCACCAACTGTAAAAAATGTTTCAATAGTCTCAAAGATATTTTAAATCACCGAAAAACTCATCTGACTGATCAATCATAACATTATGTTTTCCTTCTTAGTGTACTGTATTTCTCTATTAAACTTATACGACTAAATGATTTTAGTTTTATTAGATTTATAACTAAAATATAATATTGTATAAAGAAAAGCAATTGTAATAAACCATGACTTGAGAATTATTGTTTATATACCATTTATTTGTTAGTTATTTATAATTTGTTTGGAAAGCCAGCAAATTAACAAATTTTATACTTGGAAAAAATGTATAATAAGTAAATGATGTGTATTATAATAATATATTGCTTGAATGGACCATAGAATTTAAATCAAATATGTTCTCTCGTTTGGATTTTTATAATAGGTATTAATAGATTTTTACAAATTGTGTTTTCAAGAATAATAAGACCTGCTTATTATATGTATCTACTTGTCTGTCACTTATCAATCTAGAAAATTAATTATAAATTTATATAAAAATGATTAATATAAACTTATTGTTATTATTAATAACTTTTTTAAATCATAAAAAATTTTAGTTGTCTCATTTGTCTAAATCTATTTTTGCTTTAATTATATGTCATGATTTTTTACTGATAAACTGAATTCATTATCATAATTTACATAATTATTTTTTTATGTTGTTTATATTATACTAGTATTTCTATAATGAAACGGTTAAATTATTAAAGTATTGGTTCTAGAATCATATTTCATTATTTTTATTATTATTCTGGTATGACATTGATCAAAAATGTGTTTTTATAACCCAGCTTAGTTGATTTATGGACGATTTGTTACTTCTGTTGTGTTTGGCCGTACAGTATGAAATTACAGTCTTAATTAAATCAACATACAGATATTTTTGAATACAGATTAATATTTCAAAAGGTCTGCAGCTTTGCCCATTTTTCATACATTTTTAGATGATTGGCAATTTTTGATATTTTTTTGCAATGTTTAACTAATTATAATTATAATGACTAATAATAATTATTATTAGTCATTTATTTTATTTGAAATCATAACCTTTACTGAAAAAAATTATAGTTGTGTTACTGATCATAGTGCTAACTCTGACGTACGTTTTCCTAGAACCAGAAAAAATATCTGAATTCAACACTGCGTACAGTTATAAGTTTAAACAATCTTCAGTTATGCTAGCTATACTATTATCTTTAATAACTATAGTTTTTAATAATTTGTAATATATTGTTATTACAATTATTATATTTTTTCATTTCTTGGTAACCATTCATTATAAAACGAGCTGCATTATAGCACATTAACATAACATAATAACAAAGCTCATTAATTCTATTATTTGTTGTTTATTTTTAAAAGATATTTGAAATACCTACATAAGTAATAAATTTGTTTCAGAGAACTAATAAGTTAAATACAAAATTTTATATTGCATATTTTGAAGTTCAAATTTAATTGCTATTTTGCTTATCTTAGCATTATTTCAATACCGTAATAGAGAATAATATGAGAATGTCCAAAAGAGATAATTTTTTTTTTACAACAGCTGTAACAATAGTTACTATTGTAACAAAAAAAAAAAACGGTAGCACAGTGGGGTCGTGGCACAATATGGTTGTGGCATAGTTGGGCAAGTATAGATGATATCTGACAATGATTAAAATTACTATCATAAGAAACGCTTCGATGCAAATCTGTAGATAGTGTTTAATTTTAAGAGAATGGTAGATTATTTCAAAAGCGATCATAACTCTTATTCCCTTAATTTTATCCCGATTTATAATTATAATATATGAATACATAATAATTATAGTAATTAAATTTAGTATGAAATTGATATTCAATGATATAATATTGTAATTTTTACGGAGATATAAATATAAAAAGGAGTTGTATATTTATATACTTTTAACGCGTATAAAAATTTAAAGGGATTGATGCAATACTTTTTAATAAAAAAATTTTGTTACTTATGAATAAATATACTAGACTAAAAGGAACTTTCATCAGAAACAAAAATATACTTTTCTAAATCAACTTTTCGCGATGTTTTCAAATTTGCAATTAAACTTTTTCTATTACTTCTAAGTTTTAATATTATTACTTATTATCAAAAAATAAGTATTTACATATAAAAAAAAATTGTTTTGAATTAATACTGATTTTGATTATTAATATGTTAAAAATAAGGAAAATGACATATTTGACCTATTATTTTAATCGTTTAAAGTTGATTTTTGTGAATGTTTATAATTAAAAAAAAACGGTAGCACAGTGGGGTCGCGGCATAGTGGAGACATTGCATAGTAGGGTCCAGTATAGATTTAATCTGACAGTGATTAAAATCACTATCATAAGAAACGCTTCGATGCAAATCTGTAGATAGTGTTTAATTTTAAAAAATTGATGGATAATTGCAAAAGCAACATCAACTTCTATTAAAATAAAATACAAAACCCATAATTATCATACAAAAATAGTATATTTTTCAATATGGTAGCCATTTGCG